GTAGTGCACTTGACGCAGGACATTCATTTATTCTTTCTCTTGCTCTCCCAACCCCGTCGCCCGTGGCGACGGGGAGTCGTTGCGGCGTGTCGTGGCGTTTTTTGGGGGCGCGCCCTCGGCCCGCTAAAGGCGGGTTGGCTCCCTTAAGTATCCCGCTCTGCGTGGTTGGTCCTTACTTGCTATTCTAGCCGAAGCGGCCCCCGCTTAGGGGGTGCAGGGGCTGGACAGGTGTTTTCAGTGGTCCTCGTACCTCTGTCGCCGAGTTCCGCCGCTGTCTTCCGCGACTCCGAGGCCAGCGTGGCGCGGTCGGGATTAGCCCATCTATCCTGCTATCCTTTCGGCTCAGGCACTGGACATCTTGAGCGCCCCTGTTCAGACGGGCGCATGGACAAAAGAGTATCAGAGTTTCTCGCTATCGCCCCCTACCTACGGATCACAGGGTTGGTTCGATTCATCAATTGTCAACCTCCGTTCGCAGCGGCGGCGCCGTCGGCGATTCTGCAACGCGTCGTCGTGTTTCTATTTTGGCGCGCACAACGATATTTGGGCGCTGCGGCGTTGGGCCCCCTGCAGCAGCCGAGGCGACGGGGCGCGCCGTCTGCCACTTATCAGATTGAAAGAGCCGAGCGGTTTTGCACCATCCCTTGGGCGCGCGTGTGGTGTGAACCCGCGGTGCGGATTGTCATCGTTGTGGTTGTCGTTGTTGTTGTTGTTGTTGCAGTAGCAATGGCGGGGCGATTCGGCCCGTTGCACAGTAGCGCAGTAGCACCCCCCTTCCGCGCCCCCGTTGTCCCCCTCACAACCTCCGCCCTTTCGGATTCTTTTTAGTTGCGTGTCCACTTCTGATTTTCCGCGTCCCGCTTGGGGTTTCTTGCGCACCTCGGTGAGGCTTCATGTATGCCAGAAATTATCGGGAAACTCTGAAGAGAATTCCGTGGGATTGTCCAGCGTTCTCACGGGGTTCGTGGGAGTTCTTGAAGGTTCGTGACGATTCCTCCGAGATTTAAAAGTGATTCGTGCGGCTTCTTGGGGGGTCCGAGACGATTCCCAGATATTCCTCCGGGATTCTTGCAGATTCGGGAAGAATTCTTCGAGGGGTGCTTGAGATCCGTGAAGGATGTTTCGGGGACTCTTCGTGGTTTCCCGATGATTCCTGATGGTTCCTGATCGATTATTGTGGATGAAATTTGCGTCAAGCAGTCTTCACGCTTCGCGTGTCTCCATTAGCTCATGAACAGCAAAAATAACTTACCCATCAGAGTTGACGGGAAAAAGGGATCATTTTTTTTTGGCCTCCGCAGCGGCGGCCGCAGGTCGGGCGCTCGGCGCGCGCCGCGCGCCGCGCGCCCGGCCCGCGGGCCCCCGCGGCGCCCCGGCGCGTCCCCCGAGAGAGAGGCGGACGAGATGGAGCGCAGGGTGCCCGAGTCTAGGGTCGGGTCTTTCACCGCCCTTCGCAGGGCCCCCCGTGGAAAGAAACGCACTCGCAGCCCACGCCGAACCGCCCTCCCATGAGCGCCCCCAGATGACGGCACCAGCCCTCAAGAGAGCGAGAGGCTGGCCCCCCCATCCCCAGGGAGACGCATGGGGGTTGGCCCCGCGCGTGCGGCCAGTAAGGGGAGAGGAGAGCATGACAAACAACAAGCAAGGCGAACAAGACAAAAAGGGTGCACACATACTGCAAACATCATTCGCACGAGCAAAACAAGGACCGCATCACGACTGTGAAGCACAAACACGGCAAATGACCGCATCCCGACTGCGAAGCACAATCAAACAAATATGTGAGCATAAACTGGGAAGAAGGCCAACAGGATAAGTAGGAACATAGACAAGGTGCACTGCGATCTTTCGCGTTACCCCAACGCGCCGAGGAGCAACTCAGTGGGAAGGTATTGCAAACAACCATTTGTGCGAGCTAGACAAGGGCCGCATCGCGACTGCGAAGCGCAAGCAAGGCAAAGGACCGCATCACGACTGCGAAGCACAATCAAACACATATGAATCATAAGCTGTGGGAAGTGAGAATTTACTGCAAACAATCACATGAGCGGGCAAGGCGCGGAAGAGCCGCAGCGCAACTCTGAAACACCCACCTGTTTCCACCCCGGCGGGGGCCCCCAGAGCCAAAACAGGTGGGAGTTTTTCGGGGCCAAGCGGGGGCGGGGCAACGCGCCGACCCGGAGCCCCCAGGGACAGCAGGCCCCCAGGGGCCAAGGGGAGGGGCAGGACCCCAACAGCCAAAAACACCCACCTGTTTCCACCTCAGCAGAAGCACCCACAGCCGAAACAGGAGGCGTTCCATCCCTCTCCCCCCCGCAGGCGCCTACCATGGCTAGAACGCATTCCGGGTGCTCCGCGGCCGCCCCAACACTTCCCTCGTCGTCGCCCCACGGGGGGCCCGCCGCCACGATCAGCAATCGACAGGAGGAGGAGGAGGAGGAGGAGGAGGAGGAGGAAGGGAAGGGGGCGACGAGGGGCAGAGGGGAAGGCGACCAAAGTTTTTCCAGCAACGGACGCAGGGCAAGCAGTCAGTCTCCCTGAGCAGGCCACGACGGCGCCGGCCAATGCCGGCGACCCCCCCGGCCATGCTCCATGCAAGCGGGCGCGCCGCAGGAGCGCAGGCGGCCCCCGACATCAGGGCCATGCCTTAAAAGTGATTGGCGCCAGTGACGGCCAGTGGCACTGCGGCGGCGACAAAGTGCACGTGCTCCCGGCGTTCCGCCGGTGGCCGGGAATGGCGAAAAAGGAAATTATCCCGGCAAAGCAACCTAACAGCAGTGGCCTTTGAGCACGAAGTGGCCTACAGTTGGCTCCGGGCATTGAAAATGTGGCCCTGGAATGGAGTTCTGGCGATTCGAAGAGCACGAAGTGGCCTGCAGTTGGCTCCGGCCATTCAAAATGTAGCCCGGGAATGGAGTTCTGGGAGGTCGAAGAGCACGAAGTGCGTGACTGTTGACGAAAACGAGCCCGGCTCTGTTCCCGGTTTCCCACAGGTCCCCAGGATCTTAGTTTAAGATCCAAAACCCTGCATTCTTAGATCCTAAGAACACTATGGGTGGATCTTAAAAGCCATCGCGCGATGATTGTAGTCACATAGAAATGGCTACGGTTTGAGCCAAAATGGCTACGAACCCTCTCCTTCTCCTCCTCCTCCTCCTTCTCCTTCTCCTCCTCCGTCCTCCTCCCTTCCTCCGTGAACTTCGGACCGTCGGATCGCCAAACTCGAGTCTCGGTCTTCGGCGGTGGTTCTGGGGCGTCCGCCCCGCGGCGGAGAACCCTCACTCTCCCTCCTCGCTCACCCTCGCCCCCCCATCCCCCCCCTCGCTCTCCCTCGCTCGAGTCCCTCCCTCCCTCACTCCCCCTCCTCCATCGCCCGCTTCCTCACCTCGCCCCTCTCGCTCTCCCTGCCTCGCTCTCCTTCGCCCTCCCCTCCCTCGCTCTCCCTCCCCCCCGTCGTCGTCCGTCACCCGCTTCGCTACGCGTCGGTCGTCCGTCGTCCACCGTCCGTCGTCCGACGTCGGCGTCGTCGCGCGCCGTCCGTCGCTGCCCGTCGTCCGTTGGCACCGTCGTCGGTCGACGGAGACGACGATGACCGACGACGACGACGGAAGCTGACCGACGACAACGACCGACGACCGACAGCGACGACGGCGGCGACGAGGACGACGGCGACGACCGACGACGACCGACGACGACGACGACGACGACGACCGACGGGCCGCGTCGTCGTCGTCGCCGCCGCCGCCGCCGCCGTCCTCGTCGTCGTCGGCGGCGTCGTCGCCCTCGTCGTGGTCCTCGTCGTCGCGCCGTCCCCTTGGGGCCCTGGGTCCACAGTCGGAGACGATTCGGGTAGGAGACGCCTCGGGGGGATCGGGCTGCTCTGGGCTCTGGAGGTCGTCGTCGTCGTCGTCGTCGTCGCCGCCGCAGCCGCCGCCGCCGCCGCCGCCGTCGTCGTCGTCGTCGTCGGCGTCGTCGTCGTCGTCGTCGTCGTCGTCGTTAGCCTTTTCGGCAAAGGATGGACAGGAAAGTCCATCAGGTTAAGTTTCGGGATATCCGTACCTGGACGCGGCGGGTGCCGATGGAGCTGCGTCGCTCTCGATCCCGCTCGAGATCCCCTTCGACCGTGGTGGGCCGGCCAACGAACGGAGTGAGAGGAGACGAGAGGGAGGAGGAGGGGGAGGAGGAAGAGGAGGAAGAGGAGGATAATGAGGAGGAGGAGGAGGAGGAGGATAAAGGGGCGGGGGAGGAGGAGGTGAGGATAGGGTGGAGGAGGGGAGAGTGAACACCAAATCCTGCAGGCAGAAGCGAGGGTCGCAGTGGAGGCCGTGGAACTGTTGCATTACGTTGCGTTGGAAAGCTATGTGGAAGAGTTGCGGGACGAGGTTGGAGGAGACATCGAGGATGAGGAGGTGAAGAAGCTGTTGGCGGAGGTGGAGGAGGCGATGCAGGCTGTCGCATCATCTGACCACTCCTACCCTCATGACCCCGTCCTCCTTCTCCTGTGCATCCTCTCCTTCCCTATCCCAGGCTAAGTCCGACGGCGCCCGCGTGGCCGAGCCGAGCTTGAGCTTGCCCATCGCACAGGGCCCGAGGGCGCAGTGAAACGAGGGACGACGACGAAGCCGACGACGACGGACGACGGCGACGACGACGACGGCGACTACGACGACGAGGGGCGACGACGACGAGGGGCGACGACGACGACGACGACGACGACGACGACTACCTTACATTTCTCCGTCGCTATCCCCTTCTCCCCTCCACATTCTCGCCCCCGTCGGGAGGGCGATGGGGACCAGGAGTGCCTTCTCGATCTTAGCGCTATCATCGAATGATTCTCCTCCTCCTGGTTCTCCTCCTCCTCCTCTTCCTGCTGCTGCTCCTCCTCCTCCTGATTCTCCTCCTCCTCCTCCTCCTCCTCCTCCTCCTCCTCCTCTTCCTCCTCCGCATCCTCTTCCTCCCCATTGTCATGCCTCCTCTTGCCGCCGCCCCCTCCCCAGGACGGCGACGTGGACATCCAGCAGAGGGAGAACGCGGTGCACTCCGTCGGCGACGGAGCTGGCCTGGAGGAGCTGCCAGGCACCGACCCCGCGCCAACGGCCGCCCCGGTCGACGTGGCCGCGGAGAGCCCTACCCTCGTCGACTCGACCGCGATGGATCGCGGCGTGCTCGACGACGGCGGCGACGACGGCCCCTCGCTCTCCCAGGAGGTGGCACGCATGCTCGAAGACTCGACCCCGCCCAGCCCGCCGGCCCTGGTCGGCGAGAGCTTGCCCCCGCCCAGCCAGCAGGTGGGCGCCTCGTTCGACGAGAGCTTGCCCGCGCCCAGCCAGCAGGTAGGCGATTCGCTCGTCGAGAGCTTGCCCGAGCCCAGCCAGCAGGTAGACGCGCGGTTCGACGAGAGCTTGCCCGAGCCCAGCGAGGGCGGCGCGCTCGAAGCGCCCCCGCCCGTCGAGGCAGCCGAGGTGGAGGCCCAGGAGGTCGAGGTTGTCCCCAGCCAGGAGTCCATGGGCGAGGACGCGAAGCAGGCCATGAAGCTGTCCGAGGAGCAACGTGCACTGGAGGAGAAGGGGGAAGATGCGCAGTTGGAGGAGGCGCTCAGGCAGTCAGTGCTGGTGACTTCGGCCGACCAGCTCGCCATGACCGAGAGCACCTCCGCGGCGTTCGCGGCCGCGGGCTTCCAGAACTCCCAGGACGTGGAGACCTTGATGTACGATGATGCACGCATGCACGAGGCAGAGGAAGCAGCTGTGGCAGCGGATCTGGAGCTCGATCGGTCGCTTGAGCAGACCAGCCGCGGAGCCACGCTGGGCAGGAAGCCCGCGAGCACGCCGATGCGCAACCTCACCAAACAGCAGCTCGTCGACAAGATCGAGATGCAGTTCAAGGTCATCGAGGACGAGGCTATGGCGGAGGGTGCCAACGCGCTCGACAAGGCGGCATCGTGCATGACCACGTTCTTCCAGGGTAGCCTCATCCACCAGCTGCGCAGCAAGCGCGAGAAGCCCCCTGACTCCATCGAGGCCGAGATCACATCGCAGGTGGCAACGGAAGCGGAGCGGAAGGAGATGGAGGCCGAGGCAAAACTGCGGGCACACGTGGAGGCGCAGGGTTTCGAGTTTTCCACGGCCAAGATCGCGGGGAACCCGATGGGAGGGCGTTGGGACAGGGCCCTCAACAACGACGCATCGTTGAAGAAGCAGTACATGGAGACGGAAGGATACGCCAACAAACGGGAGTTTCGCAGCAGCTGGGCGACGAAGGAGCACTTGAAGTGGCAGAAGAAGCAGAAGCGCGTCCAGGCCACCATCCACGAGAAGATCGAGGAGAAGGGCGGGGAGTACATGACGATGGGGCGCATCGCGCACAAGCTCGGCGGCGGCTCTGTCGGCAACCGCCTCGCTTGCAGGTACTGCGGCAAGGCGGTGGTCACGGGCTGCATCTGGGTCAAGTGGTGCGAGATGACGGACTCGTTGATGTTCCTGTGGACCTCCCGCAAGTTCGAGGACGTCTACACCAAGAGCTGGGCCGACTACGAGCAGCGGGCCAAGACGACGCCGACGGACGAGCAGATCGCGGCCGACGAGGAGGAGAAGCGCTTGAAGATGTAGCAGCTCTCAGAGTTGAGGGCGATCTCGCGGACGGGGCTCGACATCCAGGATCAGATCTCGCCGCCGTCGGCCGAGGCGCAGTGCGCGCCGAACCAGCCCACCGCCGCGCTGGTCGACGGGGCGCCGCCGCCGCTCACCAAGAGCGCCCCCCTGGAGTCGGGCGAGAAGGCCGCCTCGAGGAAGGCCGTCGCGAAGAGGGCCGACAAAGGCGGCGACGGGGCCCCGGTGGAGGGCGGGGAGAGCGCCGACGGGGAGGCCGCCAGGAAGAAGCCGAAGCCAGCCCCGGCGCCGCCATGGTTGGTGGACTTCCGCAAGCTGCGGACGCAGTACAGTTCGTGCAAGAGCCAGGCATGCTCCCTCCACCTCCCTGCTCCACACACTCCTCCTCGTCCTTGCCCTGCTCCTCCTCCTCCTCCGCCTCCTGCTTCTGATCGCATTGCTCTCGGCCAGCCTCGCGCCCCTCCTCAGTTTCCTCCTACTCCTGCTCATCTTCCTCATCATCCTACCCGCGCCTACTACTCGCACTCATGTTGCTCTTCCACCTCCTGCTACTCTGACTTATCCTACTCGTCCTCGGCTATCCCCACCACCCTCCTACTCCCCCACCTCCCACTCGCGATAGGCGGGGGCGATCTACGATTTCATCGGCGACCCAGAGAAGGGCACGGGCCACGAGGACTGGCAGTTCGCCACCGCCGAAGGGATCAGGAGCGACCTTGACAAGGCCATACAAGAGGTCCAGGGGAGGGCGAGGGGGAACACAAAGGAGGATGAGGATGATGATGAGGTGGAGGAGGATGGTGACGATGGTGAGGAGGAGACGGAGGATAAGGAATAGTATGATGAGAAGGAGGCTGATGATGGGAGGGAGACTGAGGTGGCTGATGATGATGATGATGAGGAGGATGAGGAGGAGGAGGAGGACGACGAGGACGAGGAGGCTGAGGATGGGAGGAAGAGAGTACACTGAACCCCAAAGAGAGAAATGGAGCTGTCCTGGGCCGCGGACGTCGCAAGTTTCGTTGCCTCCCCTTCCCCAGCACGGTAGCGCCGGAGCATGATGGCATCAATGCATCCCTTGAGTGCCCCCGGAGCTAATTTTTCTGGCCGCGTCCAGCCGTGGCGACGAGGAAGCCTCGCGAATTCCAGGGCCTGCGGTAGATCAGTCCTCCGTTGCAACGAAGCTCCGCCACTGTCTTGCCTCGCCTCCGAATCCATTCGACACGAGTTTTGGCTCCGCTTACAGTTCAGGAATGGCTGCCGCCGCTAAACGGACCCGCTTTCTCAAACCATCTGATGCGCTCGTGGCTGTGCTGTGGAAGCACATCGATGATGCAGATGCCTTCGACTACACCACCGATCTTGACGACAGTGTCGATATTCGCCGCCTGATGCCATGGACAGATATGCTTCTCGAAGTTCGGGCAGCGATTCACCCCTAGTGTCAATTGCAAAGAAAGGCGCTGATATGGCCATGACGGCGGTTGCAGAGAAAAGAGAGGAATATTGGAAACTCGCAGATACCGCCGCTAGCTGGGCGGGCGATAGTGGCAACAAGTTGCGCGCTATGCTGCGCCACGTGGACCAGGCAGTTATCAAAGGGAGGAGCCAGGGGGGTGTATGTAAAGCACACCCCTCCCCACTCACCATACCCACGTCCTCTCCTATCGTATCACGCCTCCGTTCCCGACTCAGACTAAGCCCCCGACCAGCGTTCCTCCAACCCCAGCCGCCCAAACCCCATCCAAACCCCATCCAAACCCCATCAAAACTCCATCCAAACTCCATCCAAACCTCATCCGAACTCCACCCAACCACCATCCAAACCCCACCCAAACTCCATCCAAACTCTAGCTGCTGACAGTCGGGACTCTGGACGTCAGGGGTATGGAACGCCGGTGATTCAGGAGGTGTGTCAAGATATATGCCATGGGACGGGTGAGGGGGAGCGCGCGCCCCCATAGGAGCAAGTTCCCGCACTGCCAGGACTGGGTGAAGCCGTTCATCAGGCAGATGATGGATCAAGATGCCCAGCAGGACGGGGCATGGGGCTTGCAGATGAGACGGCATGGGGATACGGAGGAGTGGGTCGGATCAACGATTGGGAGGATGAGGAGGATGCAGATGAGAAAGGGGAGGGGGAGGAGTAGGTAAGATGAGGAGGATTGGGGAGAAGTGTAGAAGGTCGAGTGAGATGTGGGGGGCTCAGCGCAATGGATGATTGAGCGGATGGGACGAAGAGAGAGTGGCCAGGACAAAGAGTACGAGTACAAGTACGACGACCGCATGACGGCGGACGGGGATGGGTGTGCTCTTGCATGCATTCGTGCTGCTTTCGTGCTTTACTGTCGCTGTGCTTGGCTACATTCCATTCGCGATGAGTCCCAACGGCCATGGTATCGCATGTGCTTGTGCCTGGCCCGTCCCCTCCTAAACTACAGCGTTCATGTCCCCTAGCAGGAGCTCTCCGATGACGCCGCACTTGTCGACGGTTGATCTCGCCTCCCATGCCACCCCTCCGATCCATGTACCACATGTCCCCATCGACTCCTCGCCCCTCGGCCTTGTCGTTCCTAGTTGCACGCGCCTGCCTCGCAGCAAAATGCATGGGCGCGTGGGAGGCGGCTTACCGAAGCCAGGAGGACAAGCCAAATGCACCACCTGAATACATGGAGAATTGGGCGAGGGCTCCTGAGGACGGGCCAGGGGGCACTGCTAAGGCCACGTGGAAAGGCGGCGAGTTACATGAGATTCCTGGCGCCACGTGGGCCGTGGTGGACGGCAGCATGCTTGAGAAAAACAAGCGCCGAGTGAATGGCTATGGTCTGGCACTCTAAATAATGGTACCATGTATTGGTTGAGCGAGAATGAGCGCAAAGAGACTGTGTTCTACGTCATATGGGAGAAGAAACCCAACGAAGCCAAACACATGTTCTTACAACTTGTCATCAATGACAGAATGGAAAAGCCAGTTCAGTTCTTGACGGACCTAGCGAAACAGTATTTCAATGAAAAGAAACCCACATTGGACAAATATGCCATGGAAGTCAACAAGAAAGAGTACATGCATAAGTGCGAGATCACCGCTAAAAAGAGACCTGCCGCCGCCGCGCAGCATGATGGCACCGCAAAAGCATCGAAGAAGGATGGCGCGGGCGACGAGGACACAGGCGGAGGCAAAAAGCAAGGGGCACTCAAGAAGCCTGCCAACGCACCAGCAGGAAAGAAGGACGATGAGGACGAAGAGGATGAGGAAGGGGAGGGCGAGGAGGACGAGGGGGGCGAGGAAGGCGGCGGGGGCGGCGAGGATGACGAAGAAGAGGGCGATGCTGCCGAGGAGGACATGGAGGATGAGGAGGACGGCGAAGCTGACCCCGAGGAGGACGATGCTGAAGCCGAAGAGGATGAGGAGGAGGAGGAAGCCGAGGAGAGAGGAGACTAGAAGCCAAATATGAGGAAGCCAGCTGGTGCGCCGAAAGCAGACCCACGCAAGCGCCCCGCTGCGGCATCGGGGGGATGTGCTGAGGCGGCATCGGGGGAGGGGGCTGGGGAGACGATGAAGAAGCCAGCAGCTGCAGGGGCGAGTGATGATACCAGCGATAAGCAGCATTGGCCCGCACATGTGCAAGATAAGGGCATCACAGTGAACAGCGATACGCCTTCGAAGCGTATCAAAGGCAAGCAGGGTCCCCTTGGCTCGGATTTGGCGCAGTCAGCGGATGAGCGCGCGGCAGTAGACCCGTACGGCGCACCATCGGCGGCGGCGTCGCCGAGAGTTTCGGCATCGACAGGGGCTGAGGCACCCGCGTCCCCGACGCCCGTCCCCGAGGCGCGCGCGCCCCCGCGGTCCCCGCAGGAGGCGAAGGTGTCGCCGAAGGCGTCACCGAAACCAGCAGTGAGCCCCGTTGGAGGCACGTCGGGGAGGATCCCTGGCTGCATGTTCGATCCAGAGTCGGAGTAGAGGTCTGCCAAGCAGCGATCCTCATTGTGCACCCCTGTGTGCCTCTTTCGCGGGGGGGCGAAGGCCAACCTCCACCAATGCTCCCAAGAACTGGCCCAGTGGGTCCGCGTAGATGGGGTCGGGAGGCGATGCGATCGGCGACGCAATGCGATCCAATGTGTTGCCATCCCCCGTCCTGACGCCGATGCATCGGCGATGCAACGTGACCCTCCGACCCCCGTCTATGCAGACCCCATGTATGCATGTGCGGTGGCATTCCTTAAGAGCGTCCATCTTCCTGTCCTTCTCGCCTCTCAATGCGCATATCATACTCGCTCTCATCCTCGCCTTAGTCTCATCGCGGTCTCTCGTAGCATTAGTTTCTGACCTCTCAGCCTGCTTGCGCTGCGCGGTACTGTTGCACGCAGCGCGCAAGGAAATGCGACGGACTCGCCGCTCATCCTATCCAAATGCTCGGCGCATGCATGGGCCCCCGGCATCCTTCACCCTACTCGCTCTCTCCCGCCCTCCCTTGGCATGCAATAATTCCAAACCTCCCCCAGCGCACCATCAGTTGCATCGGCCTCGTGAGACACGCGCCCTTTGCTCGTGTCTAAGCTACCCGTGCATGAGATGGAGTGCGGATAAGGAGGTGGGATACGTTGATGATGGATGGCGCGGGGTGAGGGGTTGATCTGAGGAGGATGAGGTGAACGGGTGAGGAGGATGGGGCAAGGACGATGGGGGTGAGGCGGATCTGATTCGCTTCCCTCCCCTGACCCTCGCCCAATGGGCCTGTGGCGGGAGGTCAAGGCTACCGTCGACAAGGACAGCGTCTACGGCGAGCTCCTGTCGGCGGACATGACGACGGTGAAGAAGCGCATCGGGGCCGAGCAGTTCGAGCTGAAGGTCAAGAAGCTGACCAAGGCCAGCTCTCGGGTGGGCTGTCTCTGGGGAGGTGGGCCGCCCTTTCCTCTCCTCGCTCTCTCCCTCTCCTCTCCCTCTCCCTCTCCCTCTCCTCTCCTCCCTTTCCTTTCCTCTCCTCTCCGTGTCCTCCTCTCCCTCTTCCCCCCTCTGGGGAGGTGGGCCCGCGCGTGCGCCGTGGGCGGGGGGGGGGGGATAGCGAGCGAGATCCCATCGGGCCCCTGTCGATCTGTCTCGTTCGCCCCCCCCCCCCCCCCCCCCCACCATCGAGCCGCCCCGCCGCAGCCTTGCATGCCCGCCCCCCTCGAGCGAGGGCCTGAGCGAGCACGTCAAGACTGTCGTCGAGGAGGTGGCTCGGATCTGGCGCCAGAAGAAGGCGCGTGAGACTAAGAAGAAGTGATTATTAGCCGTTGCTGGGCAATTTTGTCGTCTTGTCAGTTTCGGGCTCAGATCGCATGATTTCTGGGGGTGGCGCACCTGACGC